AAATGTTGAATGTTGAATTAAGAATTGTCATCACAGCACTCGGGGCACTCCTATAAGCGCTCCGTCCCCATCTTCAGCAGCAAGCGAAGAGTTCTAATTCCAATGGCACCAGTAACTGTCTGATTGTATGTCCGCCTCACCTTTCTCGATAGCCTTCTCAAACCGTAATGATCAATTCCCCTAATAATTTTGTAACAAAGCTAAGAAGTATAGAAGTTTTTCATTAACAGTATTTATATCTATATATACATATCTATGTTATTTTTTAATGTATTATTGTCTTTAATTATCATTCAGTAAAGTATTATTATTATCCTAAACTAAGATTAGACCGACCCCAATGAGCTTCCCCTCCCCTCTCTCCCGTTTTCTCTGTGTCGTCCTGCCTGCACTATACGGTAGGTCAGTTTGAAACATATCGAATCAGTCACTATGGAGTATCACTGCCAACAGTTAAGTTCGAATTTTACCACATGATATGTAAATAAATGCATACAGTGTTGTTCAAATGCTACTACAGCATGGTGACATCCTTATCATGGTGTTCATGTGTTACTGCCAACATAACTACGTTCATACAGTGGTGTTCAGATGTTACTACAACACGGCTACATCCTCACAATGATATTCACATCTAAATTCCTACAGTGGTGTTCACATGTTATAACAACACAGCTGCACCACTACAGTGTTGTTCACATGTTACTGCCAAGACATCGTTTGTTCATTATGCATTCAAAGTTCATCTTCATCTCATATCGGACAACACATCTACAATATACAGTGTTATTCAGGTGTTTACAGCGACGACATCGACATCCATACTGTTGTTACTACAACACATCTACAATATACAGTGGTGGTATTCATGTGTTTCAGCGACTACATCGACATCCATACAGTTGGTACTACAACACACCTACAATATACAGTGGTGGTATTCATGTGTTTCAACGACTACATCGACATCCATACAGTTGGTACTACAACACATCTACAATATACAGTGTTATTTGAATGTTTCAACGACTACATCGACATCCATACAGTTGGTACTACAACACATCTACAATATACAGTGTTATTTGAATGTTTCAACGACTACATCGACATCCATACAGTTGGTACTACAACACATCTACAATATACAGTGTTATTTGAATGTTTCAACGACTACATCGACATCCATACAGTTGGTACTACAACACACCTACAATATACAGTGTTATTCAGGTGTTTACAGCTACCACATCGACATCCATACAGTTGTTACTACAACACACCTACAATATACAGTGTTATTCAGGTGTTTACAGCTACCACATCGACATCCATACAGTTGTTACTACAACACACCTACAATATACAGTGGTGGTATTCATGTGTTTACAGCGACCACATCGACATCCATACTGTTGTTACTACAACACACCTACAATATACAGTGGTATTTGAATGTTTCAACGAACACACCGACATCCATACAACGGTTTTCTAATGTAACTTCACAGTTAACAAGCAAAATGATATAACGAACACTGATCATAACGCACACTCGCATAAAACTGTGTTAGAAATACGCCTGTTTATATCTTCTTGGGCAGATAATCTAATCTCAGGAGACATTCATTGTCAGATGGTGCAGTGAAAATCGGTTGTCTGTGTGGTCTTCAGCCTTTACTTGTGTTAGGACATGACAAACAGTAACTTCTGGAACCGGCTTTCACAAAATAATATTTTACTAAACTTTGCTTGAGACTAGTTTCAACACCGTCTGCTTCCAATGTTGTCTTCTTTAGAGTAACTTTCTGTAAGTGGTAGAGAGTTAATTCAATCATGGAACAGAACGAGTTAAAGTAATTAAACTTTGCCTTTGGCAACTCAGGCACTGCAGGCCTCTAGTGATCTCTTGGTTGTCGTCGAGAGGTTAATGCCTTTTCCGGTCTGAGTACATCTTCAATAAATGCGACTCCAGATCCTCTTTAACGACAACCAGAGTGCCAGACTTTGGTTGCTCGAACAAGCAAACTGTCACGAATCTCTAAAGATTTTTTCTCGCTCCTTTTTGGTTCTTTATCTGTTCTTACAGAAACGCTCAGCTTGACAGAGTGCACTGTGTCTGCTCTTCAGGTGTAACCAGACCTCTTAAGTCCCTCCCATTCGCTGCCTGTAACGGCGTTGAACCGTTTTCTTAGTGCGTTCTTGTCTGCTCGACACTTCTCAATGTCTCTCTGCCTTCTGCTTATTTCCTACGTTCGCGCAGCTGCGTCTTCTCGACTGTCCCGAACTCGCAGGCATAATAAGTGTAAATTATGTCACCAAACCGTGTTAGCTTGTCAGCTAGCGACTTTTTCTTTAGTACACCATTCACAATCCTACAAAGACTACCCTCCAGCTTGCCTCACGACACCCTATCGCTTGCGGGTGGAAACTTTATCTTAGTCCGCACTTCGTCAGAGATCAACAAATTTGCGCCTCCGTGATAGATGTCTTGGGTCTCTCCGGGCGAATGATTTTCACCCTGCCCACATGTACATATCCAGAAGGGTTGTTGGGCAGAAATCTCGACCACGGGACTGGCTGGGTCGATATCATTGATATCAGTAGAAGTATGTCCTTTATTCTCCCTCCCTTTCGGAGGACCCAAAGGGCATATTTCATTATAGGTAGCTTTCGCAATCAATTGATTATACTGAGTTAGTTGTGATCAGCCCTGTCCTCGGACGACTGTCTGTTGTCAGAAGGTCAGTTTACACCCCGTCGTTGCTGGAGAAATACAACATACAATTCAATCTGAAAATAAAGTATAGTATGTCCTACAAAATCTGCTAAAATCAAATGTTTTATCTCAAAGCCACCAGACCACAAATATTTGGATCTATCCGATAAATAATATACAGGCAAACACACAAAATCTTTAAGCTACAGCAACTGAAAAAAAAAAAAAGAATACTAATCCCAGAGATAAATGAAGATTGACAGATCCAGCCTAAATGGATCCCAAGCAATTTCTGGAAGAGTAAAGACGGCCAACGTGGTATTAACCACAAGATCCATCGAGTGCCAATAAGTCTGAAAATATGTGAATAACACCATATAGTAAATACACTTCATGGCTGGCGCGAAAATTGAATGGGGTTTATTATATCTATTTTAATTGTCTAGTCTTAATTCGCTGTAAGATTAAACATCGTTAATTTTAAAGTCTGTGGTTAAACACCTGAATCTAAATAAAGCCAAAACTGTGAGAGTGTGCATCTCTGAAGCAACACGCGGATATGATTCGTGGACTATCTCGCAGTCCTTACAGAAGAAATAAGGACTTCTGAGTTGAAATACTATAGACAGATTCTTAGAATACTATAGACTAAGAAGAAAAGAAATACTAACATCTTATTAAAGTATGTGAACATCAAGGAAGATTAACTAGTAAACAGCATCTTGTCACGGCAACTGAAATATGTTTGGTCATATCAAGCATCACGGCAGATTGGACAGAATATTAGCAGAATGCATGTTACCAGGAAAGAGGGGCAGGGGCCGACCACCACGAAGATAGGCACAGGGTTAGGAAAATACACAAGACGGAAGAGCTGGGGAGATTCCGAATTTCTGTCAGGCAGACCTTGATGAGAGTGACGTTCTGCCAAGGACCTGCTTACTACATCATAAGTCTTGATGCGATAGTTAAATATTTCTTTTTATGTGCCTGTTTCTCCCGAATTTTTTCTTTCACATCTTCTTGTGGGAATAGTCGCCCTTTGTTTTACTACTAGACTGAACGCTCTGCCTCACCCGAAATAGTGAAAGAAAGTGTTATTCTCTTCTTGGTCTCCATCGCCGCCGTATGTATAGAAGAAATTCCACAACATGAACCTTCCATTTTTAAGTTTCCGTAAGCCGCCAGTGTTTTATTTAAGTGCATGTGCGGCGATTCTCTAAATTTTCTGTAGCAAATGCATTTTTACATGGTGCGAGAGCTGAACCCTGAGTCACGGCCCAATGCGGAGTTGTAGGAGTGTCCTAGACCAGTTCTTCCCATAGTTAGCGCTATCGCCACCGTAGAACCTCTTTGGAGAGATAGTGCAGTGACTCGGAACGTGACTTAGGGTTAAAATTTAGCATTCTGGCAGCCCTCCAAATCTGACAGGTAGAGCAAAACAACCTCTAACGTCACTATTTTACAGAATATGTTTCAGTGGCTATAACAAAAGACATAATTTAAAAACAAAAACCTAATGTAAGGGATTAAGAGGGCAAAATATTCAAATGAATATAACTCTGGCGAAAGTTTACTTTTACTGATTATCGTAATAAATAAAGAAATGCACAATAATCGGGGCTGTCAATATGACTGTTAAACTAAACACTGAAGTCATAACGGCAGATGCAAATTTTACCTGTGGATTGGTCACGGTTCGGGTGACGTTAACACTTCATTTATAATAAACACACGAAGTACAGAAACGGTTTGTGATTTATGGTATGAATAACTGTTTAATCTCTTCGTTCACCTATACATAAAAGACATCGTCCCCATGTGGGATGAAATTTTTCGTTGTTTTGAAGCCCCACCATGGCTTGTGCCGGGGGCCCTTAATATAGCCGGGTCATAAATAATGCTTAATGGTTGAACGGGTTTTTCGGGACCTCTCAACGGGCGATCGTCATCCACATGGTGGCACCTTGTGTCATCAGGTGTTTATCGCTGGTGTGATGTCCTGGAGCGGTACAGCTCACCTACCTACTTAAAAGTAAGTACAGTAAAGGACCCCTTTCCACGCCTTTAGGCATATAGGGCCAGACCTATATTTTATAGACCAATCGGCACAAGATGGGTGATGTGGTCAGCATCTCGCCGGTCGCCTTTACTTCCCCGGACTGCATCCGGTACCCACTCAAGACTGGGTCGACCTGGGAGACACGGTCATTTCACCTACCTACTTACCTTTACATATTGATAACGTTTATTCCATTTGCATTTTTTTTTTCTTTTCTAGGAGAACTACGCTGCTACTGTAACGAGTCCGGCTGTGTCACGACTGGCTACATGTGTAAGTCCAGTGCAGGGAAATGCTTCACGGCTGTGGAGATCCGTGGCGAGGTGACCCATCTGACCCATGGCTGCCTGGACAGCATTTCTCGGGAGCACCACCAGTCTTGTCGGGTCGAAGTGGACATGGTCAGTGCCAGCAGAGTGGACTGGACGGCTGGACACCTTCCCGTCTTGTTGTGCTGTACGGAACATATGTGCAACTACAGGGAAGACTTTGATGTCAGCATTATTCTGACACCAAAATACAATGGGACATTCCACAGAGGTAAGATTGTTCGTCTTTTTGTTTAGGCTATCCTACCGACGACCCATGGAGTTTGACTTTTAGTTTTCCCATATGGGTTTTGGGGAGGAGGGAGGAAAGCCCGCTGCCCCTCCCACGAGCTTTTAGCAAAATACGACTTATTAGGGATTTGCTTAAATCAGATTTGTGGGTTGACAGGCGTAGATATCGCAGCCTAGCTGTAAACCACATCACACTATGGCATACACCATTTAAGAGTGAACAAAAGAGAGGAGGAGCAGTAGAAAAAGACGACGAAGAAAAAGTGGAAGAGAATAAAAAGGAGAAAATTGAACAGAAATAAGAGAGAAAAAAAAGGGGGCGGGGGGATAAGAAGAAGAAAAAGAGCAAGAGTCTTCATCTTCTTCTTCTTCTTCTCCTTCACCTTGTACCTCATCGAAGTGTCGGGGGAGATGTAATGTTCGTTGATGAGCTCTGTCAAGAGCACTATTAAGACTGATGTTCATTTCTGTAATGCTGTTCTTAATGCCATCACTCCATTTTTCCTAGGTCTTCCACTCGCTCTATACCCGTTGTAACGTTGCGATGTGGCTCGCTGTGTCAGATAGTATCAGGGCATTCTTGTTCGGTGTCCAAACCACTTCATTTGTTGTTCTTTGATGACATGTAAGACTGGCTTTTTTCCCTGCATTCGTCTGATTTCATGATTTTGTATTCTGTCTTTCCTTGCAGCTCTTCTAAGGCATTTTTATCTCTGTTGTCAAAATGTTTACGTTCATTTGAGGATGTAAGTGTCCACGTCTCCATACGGTCGTAAAATAGACATTCTCTTACCTGAAGGATTGACTCCTTTGCCACACACACACACACACACACACACACACACACACACACACACACACAGTCGCATCCTGGATGCTGATCCTATCGGATCATTTCAGGTGCCCCTGTTTAACAGAGACATTATAAAGAACCTGCAACAGCTACACAACCCCCCCCCCCCCCCCCCCCCCACCCGCTCCCTTTTCCTTATACCCTGCAGTTGTCAGCAAGAATGTTGTTTCGGCAGTCGCAAATCTGTGTTTTAAAGTCTTTCAGAATAACTTGGGTGGTTGTTGTTATAGAACTCTAATTCCGTCATAACTCTAATACACCGTAAAGTTGCCATGTATTGCTACTCCTCTCTCGTTTGCGCAGTCAGGGGCCGTCTCCGCTGTAAACGTTGGCCGCACTGATTATTGATACACCTTGAGCTCAATTGATTCTAATCCGTGTGTTGATGTTACACTACCTATTATGGATTTTTTATCAAGCTAATGGCATAGTCGGCGTCTATGGCCTAGGCGTTGCGAACGCGCTTCGTAATGTCGGGGTGCTGAGTTCGAGCCCTGCTGCGGACGGTTTGTCTTGCGATGGTTTCGACCGTGGTACCGAGAGCCGACCGTCCAGGAAGCAATGGCAAACTACTGGTCGTAGATTTGCCTAGAAAAACCACAATAGCCAGAAAGTGCTGGGGTTGGTTCTGCAACGTCCTGTAAAGGATACGCAACTAATTTAAATGGAATCCTAGAGAGAAAGGGGGAGGCGCAGAGATCGGGGAAGGTACAGAATAGCTAAAGAAACGAAACTGTGGGAGAACAGAAGCATATAGATGCATGGAGAAAGAGAGAAAGAGAAATTAGTCCTTGGGAAATTGTCAGAGAGCAGAGAGACGCACACACAACCGTAACGATAGGCAAATAAAAAAGATGGAGAGAGAGAGAGAGAGAGAGAGAGAGAGAGAGAGAGAGAGAGAGATCTCAAACACTGCAGATGAAATGTTCTGCTAACACACGCCCGCACACACCTTCTATATAGACAATCAACCGGTACCCACCTCCCACTTTCTTTCACTAACACCCCATTTCGACCACCTAATACTGCCCCCCGAAACAGCGATGGAAACGTTGGAATTATCTCCGGATATTTATATTTAACTCCCCGCGTCAACTTCCTTTCTAATCTACGTTAAAAGAACCACAGCCCCGTCGTCGGACAACCTTACCAGACCGTCTGCCGGGTCGGTGGCGCCGACCTCCACTGGTCGCGCCCCGTTTACGACCCGCGCCTGCTGGCACCATACTGCGCGAACATCAGTGTGAATTTGTGTTAGGAGACGGCTCCCGCTTCAGCGGAAACTTTCCGGGTACCCCCGTTTTGGGAGCAGCTTCGTCTTGAGCAAATTCTTGGCAGCATTGTAATTATTGTGTCAAGAGAGGCAAATTCCAGAAATGTAGTGGCGGTAAAACGGCCTAGGGAAAGAAAAAAAAAAGAGGGAGAAAGGGGTGGGATGGTATTGGGGTGGGGAAGAAAAAAAATGGTGTGGGGGGTGGGGGCTATCCTCTTTACTGCAGGAGTCTGGGTACAATTTGGAGTTTAAAATCTAGCCAAAATATTTCAGGAACCTCGCCGGTGCTACCGAGTTCGAGCATTGCGTTGAGATTCTTCGTACTCAGACTTGAGTTAGAAGTAAAACGGAGCATTTATGGGTTGCTATCCTTGTGTCATGATGTTGATCTGTTGTTTTAACCTAAACCCAAACCTTTCCTCTTTAGTAGGACCGAAAAATAGAGAAAACGGATCAAAGGTAGATCTAATTCAGTGTGACGCAACCATACCTGTTGGCATTATGCTCATGCTTTCAGATCTCAAAATAGTTTTAAAATGATCGACCGTATTGTGCATTCTACGTGGGAGCTTGAAATGAAGAAACAAAATAATTGAAATTACAGTAACCGTGCTTTTGTCGAGTCATCATCATCATGGAGCAGGTCCTTTGCAGAACGTCGCTCTCATCACGGCCTGCCTGAAAGAAAATCGGTCACTTGCTAGCTCTCCCGCCTCATGTACTTTCATACTCAAGGAGCCACTTATATTCTGTGCCCATCTTCGTGTTGATCGGTCCCTGTCCCTCCTTCCTGGTACCATGCCTTCTGCTATAATTTTTTTTTTCCCCATTCCGTTGTGGCGCTTAATATGACCAAAATATTTCAGCTTCCCGGACAGGATGCTGGAGACATTTTGTCGAGTACCTTGTCGATTTTTGTGTTAAGGATATCACGAGCGAAAATTAGTGACGTCACGATAAAGACGATGACGAAGAGGTCTTCATTTTTAAAGATTTCCCCACTTTTAAGATGCACCGAGGAGGAGCAGCGTTTTGTTATCCAGTTGTTATTCAGTGAAAGGAAAAACTTTATGGACGCATAGGGTCCGGTATGGTGGTGCATGCTAGGCTGTCCTGCCGATGTATGAGAGGAGTAGTCAGTAGTAAAGTAAAGATCCCTTTTCACGCCTTTGGGCGCATCAGGCATATGGGAAGAGCACCTTTATTTTTACAGAACAATCGGCACTCGGTGGGTAATGTGGTCAGCATTACGCTGGCCGTCTTTACTTACCCAGGACGTACATCCTGGTACCCATTTTAGGCTGGGTCGACTTGCGACACCCCATACCATGATAAAAATTCACTCAGCCAGCAGTGGGTTTCGATCGCGGTACGTTGGAATTACGAGTCGGACTCGCAATGCCTAATCCACGGACGCCACATGAGAGAAGTATTTATAAGGAGTAGAAAATTATAGGGAAGAGAAAAAGTTGGTAAGAAACAACAATTAGTTTATGTTAGCTTTACAAAATCGATCACAATAAACAAACAAAGGACGTTGCGGCGATTAGCCTTCATCAGCACATAAAGGACAACACAGTACACATACACAAATAGGCTCTAACTATAAAGTGACTACATAGGACTCTAATGAATAAAATAAACGATACTCATCTAGTGTCCCTGGCGAAAAAAAAACTTCGTTCAAATGAAACGACGGTCAGCCTATATACCTCCAACGCGCAGGTAGGGGCAAAAAAGGGGAGAAGAAGAACGTATCAAAATGGCATGAGTTCTGTGACGGACTTTTTTTTAAAGTATCCATAAACTATGAGTTGTAAACCCTTTGGCTTAGTACTATGGATATCGCAACCCTTCAGCCTTGATTCTATGATAGATACGGTACATCTAGGAAAAATGTGGCTTTCCTGCCTACCCCCAGGCGCGTGAACCCGGACCATAAGGAATCCGTCGCCATGACGCCGCGCAGTCAGGTTTAACCAACTGCGCTAGCGAGCCGATCATGACGGACTGTTCACGACCAGATCAGTCACACCAAGCAGTGACTCGTTTTGTAAACTCTCAGAGAACTTGAGTTTTGCATGCACATCAGTTTTACCGATCTGCCTTATTTGCATGCAGACTGGGGTTCCTTGTCTCTCAGGCCTATGCACTCTGACTTTGAAGGAAACGCCTCTTTTTAGTCGAATTTTACGACATCCTTGTTAGGGGACAGTGGGTTTAGTCTTACCAACCCACACACCACACACACAATGGGGCCCTGTAACCCACACAGCGATTTACCTAATTATCTATGTGGACTTTGGCTGTACTTTCTATCTTCATCCGGGTAAAGCTTCACTAACGTTTCGCCCCTTTTAATCTGTATATATTGGCTTGCATATTAATGAGCGGCACGGTAGGGTGAAAACTAGAACTCCAGGACGCGCCCAACGATTTAATTTCACGGCCGGACCAGCACTTGATCCCTCAGGGCCACTACCGCAGACCACGTTGGCCATCTGGTTACTTCTCTTTGACCTGACATTGTCCACCATTGCAGTATCCTTCTGGGGGGAGGGAGTGGGCTTCTACCAGTCTCCCTGAAGTCAAGGAAGACGCCAGCAAGTCGGATGCCCACAGACGTTTCATTCATCAGTGTCAGTAGTTCCAATCTTCGTATCACTAGGGCTACTTGAATTGATTACTGTTGTGTCAACAAGGGAGCTCTACAAGGTGTTTCATTCGATTAGGCGCCGCGGCAGATGGGGGATGCTGCTGGCCTGCCCTTGGCCGGGTTATAAATTCGTGAATAGATACACCAGGAAGGCAAATTTTACCCTGGGGGATGAATTTATATTCTAACTGAAGCTTT